CCAAAGAAGCTCACATGTTGAAAACTAATGGACCTACTCACTGGGAGGTGATTATGTACGGAGGCCTCTTATGCAGCTTGAGGATTAACCCACTGATGGCTACATAATCTGATGGTATTATTTGGAAATATTTGGCAGTGATGTCTAGGTAGATAAAACAGATCAATGTGCATGTTCTAGAGGGCCATATCTTGTCCCAGAACCCCAGCTCTGCTTCCTGGTCATTACATTCACTCCACCCTGAAGTTCTGCCCCACCAGTCCCACAGCAAGGGAACCAAGCAAGTGCAGACTAAAATCTCTGAAACCATGATCCCAAATAAATCTCTCATCCTTTTAAGTTGTTCATGTTAGGTATTTTGTCATGGCTGCAAGAAGCTGTCTAGCCTCCCTAACTACCACCAAATACCATCAGTATATGAATGTGAAGGATTGACCTCCCAACACTAGAATTTTGAAGGGACAGTCAAAATTATCCTCAGACCAATAGGGAGTTAGTCTAATAGCCCCTGGCAATACACTGTACCACACTGTAAAAAAGGCAAAAAGAAGCTATCTCTTTGGGGTGTTGTCTTGATCCCAACAGGCTCATGTATTTGAAAAGATGGTCTCTAGGTATTAGCAAAGCTTTAGGAGGTTGGAGGCCTTTTTGAAATGGGACCCAAATGACAATCATAGGGGAAAGACTCTTGGGTTAGAGTCACATACAGTTATAGTCTGAGGTCTGTTGTCTGATTGGCGGCTGAGATGTAGGCACATTGCTTTAAGTCTACACAGGAGTCTCTTCTGCTGCCACAAACACCATCCTGCTTCTCTGCCACGACACTGTGAGCTAAAATAAATCATTCTCCTGGGTTGATTCTGTCAGGCATTTTGTACAAGTAATGAGAAAAGTCTCAGGCTTCCTTCACTATTAGCATTTTACAAGAATGTGGCACCTTCATTACGATCCACAAACCATTGTTAATACACAATAAAGCCTGCACTTTATTCAGCTAGCCTTAGCTTTTATTTAAGGTCCCTTTTCTATTTGAGACTAAGCAGCACAGGGGATATCTTCTCATGTCTCATTGGGAGACTGGGTCAGTGATCTGTCACATATCACAGTAAGAAGAAAGAAAGCATGACCACCAATGAGTTGTTGGGATTTATGCTTGTCACCTTGGAGAGAGCAAGTCTTCTTCCTTGTCACAAGGGAAGCAGTACACATCACTCAAGTTGGCACACTAGTACCAGCTGGGAAGTGAATATCTGGGCCACAGAGAAGTCTGTCTTTCCTTGTCTTCAGGGCCCAGACATTCTACTTTCCCCAGCTACCTACCCCTTCATCCCAACAGTTCACCGAAGTTTACCTGCCCACTGATTCATGTTTTACCCAAGAATCTCTCCATCTTTCCAGTTACCTAAACCAAAGTATAAGCATCTTCCTTCTTTACTAGCCTCCACATCTGACTCACAACCACATTTTGTCACAGGACTGACCAACACACACCCACACACAAAACTACACCCCCACATATATACACACACCCCTACACAAACACACACACACACAATTACATACACACCCCATGTATACCTCCCCACATACACATGAACATCACCCCTCCACACACACATACACACACACCCTCTACTTTAGGGTTTCTATTGCTGTGAAGAGACACCATGACCATGGCAACTCTTATAAAGGAAAACATTTAATGGAGGCTCTATTATAGTTCAGAGGTTTAGTCCATTGTTGTCATGGCAGGAAGCAAGATAGCTTGCAAGCAGACAAAGTGCTGGAGAAAGAGCAGAGAGTTCTTACATCTTGATCTTCAGGCAATAGGAAGGATTCTGAGCGTCATGTTGAACATAGATTGAGCAAAGGAGATGTCAAAGCCCATCCTCACAGTGACACATTTCCTCCTACATGGTCATACCTATTCCAACAAAGCCACACTTCCTAATAGTGACAGTTCCTATGAGCTTATGGGTACCAATTATATTCAAACTACCACACACACAGCACACATGCATGACATACACATGCGCGTGCCACACACACACACACACACACACACACACACACACACATATCACATATTTTGAGACAGAGAGTCACATTTCACTATGTTGCTCTAGCTGGCCCAGAACTTCCTATATAGACTATGCTTGCCTTGAACTCACAGATATCTACCTTCCTCTACCTCTCAAGTGCTATAATTAAAGATGTACATTACCATGCCCAGATATATTGTTTACTTTTTAAAATAATCTTTAATGTTTAGAATGTGCTATGGTCTTAATGTTTATATCTTCTGCCATTTAAACATTGAAATCCTAATTCCAAGATGGCACTAAGAGGTGGGCCTTTGGGAGATGATCGAGTCATAGGAGTGGAGCCAACATGGAGGATGGTGGTGCCCTTTTATATATATAAAAAAAAAATTCCAGGGAGGCCTTTAACATGGGAGGTTGTAGCTAACAGATGACCATCTGAGAACCAGAAAGTAGGTCCTTACCAGACACTGAATCTGCTTCCATCTTAACCTAGAATTTCCCTCCTTCCAGCACCATGAAAAACAAATGTTCATTGTTTTTAGTTACCTAGTTTGTGGTATTTTATCATAGCAATATGTCTTAATTACTGCTCTATTGCTATTAAGAGACACCAATACCAAGACAACCCTTGTAAGACAAAGCATTTAGTTGAGGACTTGCTTACAGTTTCAGAGATGCTACATCCTGATCCATAGGCAGAGAGAGAGAGAGAGAGGAAGAGAGAGAGAGAGAGAGGAAGAGAGAGAGAGAGAGGAAGAGAGAGAGAGAGAGAGAGAGAGAGAGAGAGAGAGAGAGAGAGAGAGAGAGGAAAAGACTGGACTTGGCATGGACTTTTGAAACCTCAAAGCCCACCCCCCCAGTGACACACTTCCTCCAACAAGGTCAAATCTCCCAATCCTTCGAATCCTTTCAAATAGTGCCACTTTGTGGTGACTAAGAATTTAAATATATGAGCCTATGGGGGCAGTTTTAATTCCAGTCACCACACAGTACAAATGGACCAAGACAGGTCAGTGTTAGAATATAGACACATTGGAACTACAGTTCAGAGAGTTTCCAGGGCTCCTTGCCAGGCTTCTCTCATTAGTAACATTTTATATTAATGTGCATTCATTACATTGGACAAACCAGTATCAACACACTATTATTGATTAAAACCCACGCTTTGTTCAGATTTTCTTATCTTTCCTACAATGTTCTTTCTCTGTATTGTGATTTCATCTAACTCAGTGCATTATTTTTAGGCTCTCTTAGTTGTTAGAGTTTCTAAGACTGCCTTACATATTGAGAAATGCTGGTCTAGCTGTTTTAAAGTTTTAGGTTTTATGCTGAGGTCTTTCATCCATTTGGAGTTAATTTTCATTCTTTTACAAGTAGATATTCACTTTCTCCAATACTATTTATTGAAGATGTTGCCTCTTCTCCATTATGTAACTTTGGCATCTTTGTCAAAAATTAGGCATGTTCAGTTTTGTGGACTTATATTTGAGTCCTCTGTTTTCTCCCAGTGATCTGGTGTGTGTGTGTGTGTGTGTGTGTGTGTGTGTGTGTGTGTGTCCAGAAGAATGGTATTCTTATTACTATAATTTAACTTGAAATCAGGTGTGGTGGTTTGAATGAGAATGGCTCCCATAAGCTCATACTTTTGGCAGGGCATTGGTGGCACACGCCTTTAATCTCAGCACTCCGGACTGCCTCTGGGCAGGCAGATCTCTGTGAGTTTGAGGCCAGCCTAGTCTACAAGAGCTAGTTCCAGGACAGGCTCCAAAGCCACAGAGAAACCCTGTCTTGAAAAACAAAAACAAACAAAAAAGCTCATATGTTTGAGTACTTGGCTCCCAGTTAGTGGAACTTTTTGGGAAGGATTTGGGGTGTGACCTTGTTGGAGTGGGTATGGTCTGACTAAAGGAAGAGTGTCACTGGGAGTTTCAAATGTGTGATTCCCAGTTAGCTCTCTGTCTCATGGTTGTATCTCAAGATGTAAGCTCTTAACCACTGCTCCAGTACCATGTCAGCTTGCCTGCTGCCATGGTTGTCATGGACTCTCACCATCTGAAATTGTATGTCCTAATTAAATACTTTCTTTTATAGGTTGCCTTGGCCATGGTGCTTTTATCCTAGCAATAGAAAAGTAACTAAGGTTTAGTAATGCCTCTTTAAAAATTCATTGTTTTGCTCATGGCAATCTGGGATCTTTTGTGAATCCAAATATTTTTTAGATTTTTTTCTTTTTCTGTGAAGAACAACACTGGAAATTTAATTGCAATTGTATTAAATCTTAAAATTGTTTTTTGGTAAGATTGCCATTTCCACAAAATTGATTATTTTGATACATGAGAATTGCAGGTCTTTTCATTTTCTAGTGTCTTTCTCAGTTCCTGCCCTCATGAACTTAGTTTGTAGAGGTCGTTCAATTCCTTGATGGTTAGATTTTTTTTTATTCCAAGGTTTATTTTTTTTGTTTGTTTGTTTTGTTTTTTTGGTTTTTGGAGACTGTCCTGGAACTAGTTCTGTAGACCAGGCTGGACTCAAACTCACAGAGATCCATCTGCCTCTGCCTCCCGAGTGCTGGGACTAAAGGCATGTACCACCAACGCCTAGCTCCAAGGTATTTTTTTAGATTTAGTTTTTTGGGACAGGGTCACTATCATGTTGCCTTGGATGGCCTAGAACACACAGAGAACTGCCTGATTCTGCCTCCCAAGTGCTATGTTTTTACTTACTTTTTGATACAACCTGTGAATGGGGTTGTTTCTTTAAGTTGGATAATCATTGTTATAGAGGAAGGTCACTAATTCTTTTTATGTTAACTTTGTATGCTTTGCTGAAAGTGTTTTTCAGTTACAGTTTTTTTTTTCTTTTCTTTCTTTTCTTTTCCAGGTGCAGTGATCTTTATTGATGGTACTCAAGAGAGCAGGGCTCCCTAAGCCCCTTCATTCTGTGGGTTTGGGATGGAAACTGTGAGGGAGATTAGTGTCGGGGGTTGTTGGACAGGGACTGCTCAGCAGCCAGGGCCTCTCTCTTGCTCATGTCCTTGCTGGGGGTGGATGGTCCAGGATGGGCTCTTACTCCTTGGAGGCCATGTAGGCCATGAGGTCCACCACCCTGTTGCTGTAGCCGAATTCATTGTCATACCAGAAAATGAGCTCTACAAAGTTGTCATTGAGAGCGATGCCAGCCCCAGCGTCAAAGGTGGAAGAGTGGGAGTCACTGTTGAAGTCGCAGGAGACAACCTGGTCCCCGGTGTAGCCCAGGATGCCCTTCAGTGGGCCCTCGGATGCCTGCTTCACCACCTTCTTGATTTTGTCATACTTGGCAGCTTTCTCCAGGCGGCATGTCAAGTATGACAGCTTTCTCCAGGCGGCATGTCAGATCCACGACGGACACATTGGGGGGTAGGAACCCGGAAGGTCATGCCAGTGAGCTTCCCGTTCAGCTCTGGGATGACCTTGCCCACAGCTTTGGCAGCACCAGTGGATGCAGGGATGATGTTCTGGGCAGCCCCACGTCCATCACACCACAGCCTCCCGGAGGGGCCATCTACAGTCTTCTGGGTGGCAGTGATGGCATGGACTGTGGTCATGAGTCCTTCCACAATGCCAAAGTTGTCATGGATGACCTTGGCCAAGGAGGCTAAGCAATTGGTAGTGCAGGAAGCACTGGTGACAATCTTGAGGGAGTTGTCATATTTCTCATGGTTCACACCCATCACAAACATGGGGGCATCAGCAGAAGGGGCGGAGATGATGACCCTCTTGGCCCCACCCTTCAAGTGGGCCCCAGCCTTCTCCATGGTGGTGAAGACGCCAGTAGACTCCACAACATACTCAGCACCAGCATCACCCCATTTGATGTTGGCGGGATCTCGCTCCTGGAAGATGGTGATAGCCTTCCCGTTGATGACAAGCTTCCCATTCTCAGCCTTGACTGTGCCCTTGAACTTGCCGTGGGTAGAGTCATACTGGAACATATAGACTATGTAGTTGAGGTCAATGAAGGGGTCACTGATGGCAACAATGTCCACTTTGCCAGAATTGATGGCAGCCCTGGTAACCAGGCGTCCAATACGGCCAAATCCGTTCACTCTGGCCTTCACCATTGTGTCTCAGAAACGAGGCTGGCACTGCACGAAAAGATACAGCTGTCTCTAGAACAGGGAGGAGCAGAGAGCCTCAGTTACAGTTTTCTGGTGCAGTCTTGCTGGCAGGTCTAAGGTACCTTAGCTTCATACTTTCCTATTCATAATACGCTTGTTTCCTTTTCATGTGTCATTGCTGCAGTGACACTATATGAAACAGGTGTATATATATATAGAGAGAGAGAACTCCCTTATCTTAATCTTGATGTCAGTGAGAGTGATGGAAGTTTTTTCCATTTATGGTAAGCTTGGCTATATGTTTGCTACATATAGCCTTTATCATGTTGAGATATGTTCTTTTCATCCCATAGCCTCTCTAGGCTTTTCATGTTAGATTTTTATTAAAGGTTGTTTCTGTATGTATTGAGATGATCATTTAATATCTGTCCTTGAGGTCATTTATGTGATGGGTTACTTTGACTTATGTATTTTGAGCCACCTCTGCAGCTGTGAAAGGAAGACAATTCAGCTGATGAGCTTTTCTTTTTAATAATTTATTTTTATTTTTTATGAATTGGTGTTTTGCCTTCTGTGTGAGGGTGTTGGATCCCCTGGAACTGGAGTTACAGATGGTTGTGAGCTGCCATATGGGTGCTAGAAACTGAACTCAGGACCTCTGGAAGAGTAGCCTTTGCTCTTAACCTCTGAGCCATCTCTCTAGCCCTTTTGGATGAGCTTTTTAAAATGCAATCTTGAATTCAGTTTGCAAGTATTTTATTGAGAAATTTTTGTCTATGTTCATAAGGAAGATTAGTCTATAGTTTTACCTTCATTTGTGCCTGGTTTTGCTATCATTATAATGCTTGTTTCACAAAAAGAAATAAAAAGATTTCATTTCTTATTCTTTCTCTTCTTCCCTCTGTTGGAAACTCAGCATTCTGCTGACCCCGCCCCCTAATGATGCATGGTCAGTGTGGCCACATCATGGTTACATCATGAGTTATGGGGCTGTGTCAGCACTCAGTACACACGTGCAAGCTTCCCCTTTTAAGCAAGTGCCCCTCCCCCTTCTCCCCCCTTCTCCTGCTCCCAGTTGGCCAACATCTATCCCGCTTCTTTTCCTTCCACCAATAAACTCCATGTGGGCGCATTGAGTTCATGTATCATTGCCTGCCACTGCAGCAAAAGAACAACATTTTGTGTAGTGAAACTTGGTCAGTCTCTCTCCATAATCTCTCTCACCGCCTGTTGGTGGGTGGCTGGAGACACTCAGGGATCCTGTGTCTGAACCAGCAGCTCACTTTTCATCTAACCGTTCGCTAGGGCCACTATCCAACACTGGCTACGATTCGGTAAGGGACCCCTTCTCCCAGTCAGTGTAAATGTTTCCCTGAACCTGAAGGTGTGTCCAGCAACCTTCTGGTGTTCTTGGAAGCAGGGGAGCCCCCAGCCACAGTCTTAAAGGCCGTGGCTGATCCTTCTTTCTGACCATCACCTTTGGTACATTTCCCATGGGTGAGGTCCAGCTCTGTCCTCGCTGAGCGGTACATTCAACTTTATGCTTTTGGCAATTACAAATTACTGCCTTTCAGACTGCTGAGTCCTATCGGGCATCTTGCTGTTGGCCTCTCTTTCAGGCTAATGAGCTCCAAGAGTGATCTGCCAGTTTTGCTTCACCCATGGGAAATAAACCAATGAAAGAAATAAGCCTGTCTACTCCACTGGGATGTCTGCTAGAAAAATTAAAACCCCTTCACTTAATGCCATTTGTTAAGGCAACCAGACTCATTCACCTCTGTGCTAAGAAATGGCCTAGATACCCTCTAGAAAATAAGTCAAATTGGCCACATACTGGCTCTGTAGACCCCGATATTTTACGGGACCTTTCCAATTACTGCCAACAGACAGGTAGATAGAAGGAGTTACCATATGTTCAAGCTTTCTTTTTCCTCTGTGCTAAATACTCTCTTCCCTCTTCCTCTTTTCCATCTCATGTCCATCTATCTATGAAAGCTAAACCTAAGGAAACCCCCGCTAACGAACCTCCACTGCTCCATCCTCAACATCCAACTACTCCTTTTTCTCCTACTCTTCCTTCTTCTTCATCCCCAGCTTCTTACTGGGCCACTCCAAATGCCCAGCTTTCATGCTTCTACATGCCCTCAACCTATGAAAGCCGACCTAGCCACAGTTCTCCCCTTGTGAGAAGTGGCTGGAGTGGATGGTCTGGTTAAAGTGTATATCCCCTTCTCAAACACAACATAGACTGAGTTCTAACTCCACTACTTTCATAAAAGAGTTCCAGTACATCATCCAACCTATAGTCTCACTTTTCAATATATATACATGATCTTAACCAACAACCTTCTACTTGAGGAATGAAGATGAATTTGGGAGTAGGCTAGAACCCATGCAGATGAAGTTCACCAGACTTATGCAGCTCACCCTACTGGGTCCAGGCTGTTCCAGATCAGGAGCTCCACTGGGACTACAATACCCCAGGGGGAATTCTGGATAGAGATCAGTTTACAACCTGTCTCATGGCTGGTCTCTGTAAGGTTGCCCTAAAGTCAACAAACTATGAAAAGCTTCTAGAAGTAGTTCAGGACAAAAGGAAATCCCTCACAGTTCCTAGAATGCCTTACACAGGCCTTCTTACAGTATACTAACCTAGACCCTGAGACATCAGAGGGGAGACAACTCCTTATGACATACTTTTTTCTCAGAGCTACCCTGACATTAGGGCTAAATATAAGCCTCTGGAGCTAGGACCCCCTAACCTCACAGGCAGAATCCTTAAGAATGGCTTTTTGTTTTGTTTTGTTTTTTGAGACAGGGTTTCTCTATGTTGTTTTGGAACCTGTCCTGGAACTAGCTCTGTTAGACCAGGCAGGCCTCGAACTCACAGAGATCTGCCCGCCTCTGCCTCCCAAATGCTGGGATTAAAGGCGAGTGCCACCAAAGACAGGTTTAAGAGTGGCTTTTAAGGTGTACCATGGGAAAGATAGCAAAGCCCTTAAACATAAATAAATACCAGATGCTGGCCAAGGCCATCCGACCAACCTTAGTGTCTGCCTAGGATCCCTTACTGTCAGTGGCTCAAGGACAGCAGCACCCATTTTTTGAATGTGGTCAGGAGGGGCATTGGGCCTGAGATTGCTTTGGACTTTTAAACAGTGTTGAGATGGAAAGATCATGGGAACTTTTTTAATTGGCCAGTGCATTTTGCTTTGTGATATAGTAACTAGCCTAGCATGGCCAGCAGGTAGAATTGGGTGGTTTGAATAAATACCCCCATAGTCTCAGACATTTGAATGCTTGGTCTCCAGTAGGTAACTTGTTTGGGGAAACTTAGGAAGTGTGTCCTGAGGAAGAATGTCACTGGGGGTGGGCTTTGAGACCTCCAACCACTTTCCTCTCTTTGCCCTTTGCCTTGTGCTTGCTGTTTAAGATGTGAATTCTTGTGGGTGCGGTGGCTGTTATATCCAAGTCACGAAGACCCCTGGAGACCACCAATGAGACAGACTCACCAAACTGCAAATGCAAAGCTTTAGAGATGTAGCAGCCTCCAGAGGGAAAGGCCACCTAGCCTATTGCAGGAGTTTTAAAGACAAAAATCACAGAATTATATCAGTAGGTAGGGAGAAGTGTGGGTTGGATCCTGATTGGTTGACATTTGGGGGAAAATTAGGGGAATTTCTCAGAGTCAGGGCAACTGGTCTGTTAACCCTTTTGATTGGTTGACTACAGATGGGAACATTTGGTGGTTTCTATGGCTTTGTCTGTCTCTTGGAGGTGGTCTGTTGTACATGGTTCCCAGGGACCAAGATCCTGGATTGTCTTTGTGGCAAAACAGTTTCCAGGAACTAAGTCTAAGAGGAAGGTTGTCTTGGAGTTTCTTTGTGGTTTGTTTTGGTCCTTCATATCTGTTTCTTAAAGGTGGCCTGTTGCTCAAAACACAATATCTAAGAACTAAATTTCGTTGTGGCTAGGGGGAAGGGTGGGCTGGGTTTGTTCTGAAGGCTTTCCCACAACCTTTACATTTATATGGTTTCTCTCCAGTATAAATAATAAGAGTTTAATGGGAACTTAAGGCTTTGCCACATTCATACACTTTCTCCCCAGTGTGAATGATTAGAAGTGAAACCTTTTAGTTTACCCCTTTCAGTGGCATACTTTAATCCTAGCACTCAGGAATCAGGTGGATCTCTTTTAGGCCAGCCAGGTCTATAGAGTTAGTTACAGGCTAGCCAGTGC